TCAGTTCTATCTAGAAACTGAAGCAAATGGGCGTAATTGGACCCATCGCTCCCCACCATATGCATCCCGATTCGCATGGATTTCAAGCAAATGCTAGATGTGAATATCATTCCGGTGCCCCAGGGCATAGCACCGATGACTGTTGGACTCTGAAAAGAGCCATAGAGAGACTCATTTCCGAAAAACTGATTGTAGTGACGAATGGCGAGGACCCTCCTAACGTGACAAATAATCCGTTGCCAGCACACAATGATGTTCATTTTGTTGGAATGATTGGCCGAGACCAAGAATACAAGCCGGTCGGTCGAGCAGAAATGACAGTGGGTGCAATTCAAGAAGGAGCAGGTATGGAAGTAAGTCCCAGCCGAGACGTGCCATTGATTGTTAAAGGCGCCCAGAACTCAAATAAGGCAACTTTATTTGTTCCAAAGATCTCGAGGTTGGAAGTTCACTCTAGTGTTCCAAGCCCAAGGTTATATGTACTTGGAGGCCATCCCAACAAAAGGGAGAAGCAGGGAGGTACGAAAGGTATAACAGAACCGATCGTAATCAAACCTGCCATGCAACTCCCCGTAACCAACACAAAAACCACTCCTTGGAACTACAACAAAACGGTGATGACCTACAAAGGCAGGGAAATCATAGAGGAAGTGGGGGAAACTGGAGGTTTTACTCGATCAGGGAGATGTTACTCCCCAGAAGAGTTGAGGAAGGCCAAGCAAATTAGAGAAGGCCATTTGCCAATAAAGAAGCCAGTCACTGAAGCAGATGCGGAGGAGTTTTTGAAAAAGATGAAAGTTCAGGATTACTCAATCATCGATCAACTAAGAAAGACTCCTGCTCAAATCTCTCTACTATCTCTTCTCCTACATTCCAAAGAGCATGCCCGTGTACTAATCAAGGTCCTTAACGAGGCACATATCTCAGAGGAAACCACAGTGAACCAGTTAGAGAAGATGGCCAACAGATTTTTTGAGGTGAACAGAATCTCCTTTACTGATGATGAACTTCCCGAGGAGGGAGCCGGGCACAATAGGGCTTTGAACTTGATGGTCAAATGTGAGGGTCATTATGTGAAGCGAGTCATGGTTGATGGAGGCTCAAATGTAGATGTATGCCCTCTCTCTACCTTGCAAAGCATGAAGATCGATACAGACAGAATCCGACCCAGCAGTGTTCGCATCCGAGCTTTTGATGGCTCAGCAAGAGATACCATTGGGTAGATCAACCTCACCATGACGATTAGGCCAGTTGACTTTGAGATTGTCTTCCAGGTAGTGGACATGGCCACTTCTTATAACTTTCTTCTTAGAAGGCCATGGATCCATACGGCCCGAGCTGTGCCATCCACCTTGCATCAGATGCTCAAATTTGAACATAACAGGCAAGAAATTATTGTTCACGGAGAAGACGAGTCTTCCATTTATAAAGACCCGTTAATCCCCTGTATTGAGGCCAAGAAAGGGTCTGAGTCCATTGTCTATCAGGCGTTTGAAGTGGTTGCTGTGGACCATGTCGAGGAAGGAAAGCCTATTCTGCATCCTCGTCTTTCCGCCACATCTGTAATGGTGGCTGCAGTTATGATGAGACAAGGTTATAAGCCAGGAAAAGGCTTTGGGGCATCATTGCAAGGAATTTCGGAGCCTATTTCTCCGTTCGGTAACCAGGGTACTTTTGGATTGGGTTTCAGGACAACACAAGCAGACGAAAACAAAGCCAAACACCGCAAAAAGCATGGATGGGTCTTGCAACAGCCTATCCCTCATATTTTCTACACTTTTGTCAAGCCACGACTCCGAGAGGGTCAAAATTCCTCGGCGCATGCAAACATTGATGAAATTTGCCATGGCCTCAGCGAGATGTTTTCTGAAGTGAATATGATCCAGGCTGGTGAAGGCACTAGTCGTGCCGATATGCAACTAATTGACCCAGACACCATGCTCACCAACTGGGGAGCAACTCCTCTCCCCACAAGGAAGGAGTCTTGGTAGTTTGCTTTTGCAGCTTCTATTTTGTATTTTTGGGTTATTTTCAGGGTTGTAATCCAAACATCTCATATTCCCAATACTCCAAAACTGGGGCAGAAGTTTGTTTTATTTCATGGTTTTCCTGTAAAACGGTTCCAAAAGTTGTAATTCAATTCAAGGTTCATTTCGCCTTTTTACCTTTCAAGAACTTCTGATCGATGTTTTTTTTTGAGAATGTTTGAAGTCCCCATGCCAAAGGCGTTGGTTGACCTCCCTCCTGCAGTATCTTATTCAAAAAAAAAAAAGAAGAAGAAGAAGAAGAAAAAGAAAAAAAAAAGAAAAAAAAAGAGAAAAAGAAATGAGAGAGTCTTATGAAAACCCGTACGGGCACTATAAGGCGACAGTGAGCAGAGAAATGAGAGAATCTTATTGGTGAAAACCCATATGGGCACCATAAGGCGACGGTTAGTAGAGAAATGAGAGAGGTTAGTTAGCGAAAACCTACAAAAGGCGCTACTAGCCGAATAAGGGTCTTTGATTCTCCGGCATGAGCACAACCAAGACAAATTCAAGATGAACGTTTGCGGCGGATTTTGAGAATTAGACAGCTTAGACGGATCAGGCGTCCAGTCCAAAATGCATGTCATGATTCATTGAAGTCGGCACATACCTCCAGATAAGTCTCCCTATTCCTTTCCTCGAAAGGGACATCTTCTGTTTAAACACTGTTCTTTTTCACTTTCAATTATTATTCCGTTTTTACCATAATTTTTCTTTGAGTCCCTTTCGGTCTAATCCTGCATCAAAAGCAAAACAAAGAAATGGCTGCGAAACTAGCTACAATTCCCCCGTGATATCGAGCACAATTTGGGGCATATATGGCATTGGCGAAGGCACGAATCCATCTGAGATCTCATTTGATAAAGCAAACAAAGTGTTTTAAAGAAACTAAAAAGTCGCATGAGCAGGACCTGCTTCATGAGAAAGTTGATAAGCACTACGGACACAAACTGATACTGGGTACAAGACAACTGAGTTTGATTTTAAAGAAAAAATGCATTGCCTTAGAGACAAGGGTAGTGGTACCATGGACATCTGGGTATGAAACAGTTGGGGGAAATAATGTAAATCCAAGGTCTCTAGAAAATGATATAGAGCAACCGAGCATCTCGGTACCACGCTGACAGAATCGGTTCTTCGACAGCAGTGGCCGTGAATCAAACTACTCAAGGCATCAAGGGATCAAGGCCACAAACCAACCACCACTTTGAAAACTCATAAATCTTTCTTTGTTTGAAGCAGGAACATAGGGGTGCAGAATGGAAATTCTAACAGATGAACGTCACCAAACGTAAGCTTCTTAAAATCTCCATTTTTTCTCTTTTCAGCATGCATCACTATTGTTCACACCTCCCATTTTCGTAGCTTAACTCAGGTAGAATCTTTTCGCCTAGGGGGATCCAGCTCATAGTTCCGAGTAGAAGTACTCTTCACTCAGGGTGTTTTACACAGCTTAACTCAGGTAGAATCCTTTTGCCTAGGGGGATATCGAGCTCGTAGTTCCGTGTAGAAGTACTCTTCACTCAGGGTGTTTTACACAGCTTAACCCAGGTAAAATCATTTCGCCTAGGGGGATCCAGCTCATAGTTCCGAGTAGAAGTACTCTTCACTCAGGGTGTTTTACACAGCTTAACTCAGGTAGAATCCTTTCGCCTAGGGGATCCAGCTCATAGTTCCGAGTAGAAGTACTCTTCGCTCAGGGTGTTTTACACAGCTTAACTCAGGTAGAATCCTTTCGCCTAGGGGGATCCAGCTCATAGTTCCGAGTAGAATTACTCTTCGCTCAGGGTGTTTTACACAGCTTAACTCAGGTAGAATCCTTTCGCCTAGGGGGATCCAGCTTATAGTC